GCACTTCCACATTTTTGAAAATCTACTGGAATATAAAAAGGCCTCACAAACAGACAAGAAAGAGACCATCTAGGATCAAAGTGTAGTATCTGTTCCAGCTGCAGCCACAGCTGGCAAACAGCCAACAGCCACAGCTCCAGCTCACCATCAGTTGCCACTCCAGCTAGCCAACCAGCCATCATTGTCAGCAGCAACGATATGCAATAAACTGTCCTTTTTAAGACAATTCTCAACAGCTATAAAACTGTCCTTTTCAAAACAACAATTCTCAACAGCTATAAAACTGTCCTTTTCAAAACAACAATTCTCAATGGTTAAAACTATCCTCTTTCAGGATAACACTTTTTAATGATGTAAAATTTGTCCTTTTCAGGACAATGCTCTTTAACGCTCTTCTCACCCTCTACATGAACATGCAGTGATATTTTTTGTCAAAATAAACTTGGCAATATATATTTTTTATTCAAGTTTTCATTTTGTCTGTTGTCTTCCATCATTCAATATCTGTTTGAAAGTCTGTATGACACTTGCAACATGTGGTTGCAGAGAGACAGTTTTGGAAAGCCATGGAAGCTCCATACACATGTCTGTTTGAGATATTAATACTGTAATCAGAAATACTTTACCATAAAAATTTCTTTAAAAAATACAACTAATTTTATTAGAACCTGTGTTGTGATGGTAAAATAAATGAATAACAAGGAAAATAAAATTTGTCTGAATTGTTTGTTTCTTTTTCTCTTTATAAATCTCACAATATGGATGACACAAATCATGTGCCATCCATTCAATCCTTGCAAATCATTTAATGTTTGGATCCATTCTTCCAAAATGTGCAAGAAATTTATTCAGTAAAGATAAACCTTATGATAATCGCTTTGTGGTAAATTTCCTTTCTGGTTCCTTCTCTTCTTTTTCTGCTTCTTTTCTTCTGACACTCTTTCTTCTTCCAATGTGATTAACTCTTCATTTGTAAGTTCTCTGGATTCAAGGTCTAAAAATTCCTCAACATCTTCCATTTTACACTCCAAAGAGACGTGCCAGTTTTAGTATTTTTTCCCCAAAAATCATTTCAAGTTGATGTTCACTGTCAAATCCAACAACATTAACATAGTGCTTAACACACTTTATTCCAAATGCCAGACATAGAGCAGATGTGGTCAGATGGCCAGACATATCAATTCATGGTCAGTAAATTGAACAGTCATAAGTCGCATAGATCATAAGTCAACAATGACCTGTACAGTGTATTAATAAGTGAAAGTCTACTGTTGATGTAAACTTTATTTTGGACCCTGTACACATATTAATCTGTATACATAATTATGTACTGTAATTCATTTATATTACTTTATGTTTAATCTTAAGTAAATTGAAACATACATTTAATATGTTCCAATTTTATTTTCTATCAATGTATTTAGTCAAATCTTCTGAATACAGATTAATATATATGTTGGCTTATGATTCATCTCAGTGTTTTCAGTTTTGCTTATTTCTGTCAGTTTTTGAAATTATGGAGTTTGGGCAAAGTTGAATTAAGAAAGACATTAAAATGCAGCTACATAATGCAGTGTGTGGGGTACCCACTTGCTCAACTTGTAGACCTACCCTCTGTGGTGCAGGTGAAGTCTGTCTGTTTCATAAGAAACCTGTAGTGTTCTGCAAGCTCACCATTGGTTTGGCTATTGACCTCCTCTCTTAGACAAAAAGGTATACAGCAAATCTGACATACTGTTAATCCTCAAAGTAATCCCCATCAACATCCAGAACTGTTTTGCCAACATGTCTCCAGCTGCACAATGACCAAGCAGTAAAAATCTGGGTTCTTGGATGCAAAAAGTCTTTAAGTGCCTGCTGTAAGTCTGCCTCATTTGCAAAAGATTTCTCAAGAAGGTGGTTGTCCAAAAAACGGAAGAGATGGTAATCTGTTAGCACAAGGTTTGCAGAGTAAAGTGGATGGCACAGTGTCTCCCAGGCTAACCGTGCCACAATGAGGCCTGGCATTGTCATGGAGGAACAGTACACCCTTACGATTAACCAATGTTGGTTTCTTCTTCTTCAGTGACAGTTGCACATGTTCTAACTGCTGCAAGTACATGTCTGTAGTTGTGGTTTAGTAGCAGCTTATTGTGCACCACTTGTTGACTAGTCCACTGGATACAGAACATGATCTTGTGTGGGTGTGATGGTGGCCATGTGGTGTGAGATATAGTCTCCCATGATGACAACCAATGTCTGTCATGCTTGGGAACATCATACAGGACCCACTTTTCCTCACTGGTGAGCACTCGATCAAATATGGGTACATTGCAGTGCTGAGAAAGCAGTGAGAAATAGACTATCACTCACTGTTGCTTCTTGGCTTCCAACAGTGTATGGAGTACTCACTTGCTTAACTTGTACATCTTCCTTATGTGGTTCAATGAAGTCTGACTGCTTCATCAAAAACTTGTAGTGTTCGGCAAGCTCACCACAGATTTGGCTATTGTCATCCTCTACGGCCACTTTCAGGGTCTCATCATCTAGTACCTGTGACCAGCCACTGTGACCAGAGTTCATCACAAAGGGATAAATCTCCCAACCTGAACTTCTGAAACCAATGCCTGGCAGTGTGTTCAGCCACAGCATTATCCCCAAAGGCTTGACATATTCAGTGACTTCATGCAGCTGTAGACAAGCCCACATTAAAGTCATAAAGCTGACAATCATGAGCTGCTTCAACACCACCATGTTTCTTTGGCATTGTTTGAGCTATGACTGATTTGTGTATGCAATGCACCTGCATTGGTCAAAATCAATGCCCTCCACCCCCATCACTTTCTTGGCATGTGAGGCACTCATTTGTGTATCCATGATCACTTCTTCCCACATGACATAAAAAACGACAAGAAATTTTTTGGTTACCTTCTATAAGAGATAAAACCACAAGTAATATCCATACTATTTTTTCTTTTGGTTATTATTTGTAGTTATTGAGTTTTTATACAAGTCATGTTTCATGGTGTTCAGTGATGATCAAGTTACAGCAAGTCTCCTAAATATTCCAGCACCTTCCTCAGTATCCTTGCTGATTTTAGCAATATTGGCATCTGAATGGTTTTGATATTTCCTAAAATTTCTGATTCTTCTAATCTATTTACAAGGCTTTTCCAAGCTCTCCAATTTATTATTATTCAATTAAGTTAGCTCATACATGCATGGGTCTATCACGCCAACTATCACTATCCCACATCAAGGTTGGGAGGTCTTTAGGATGGCATTCTGTGTCCTAACATAGCTGATCAATGGAGGTGGTTGCTGGGCAACCAGCCTGTCTTGCTCCATGGCTTGGTGTCCAGAGTAGTAAATCACATGCGAGTTCTAGTTTTGTTCACTGTCAGTGTCCTGCAAAGGGCATTCTGTAGAAATATCAGGGATGGGTCCATGGAGCTGTGATTTAATTGGATGTTGTTTCCAAGAGATATTAACTGTAGCTCACAGCATCTGAGTGTAGGTTCCATCAAGCTTAGACTGTAGGATTTTAGTTAATGTCCAAGCAGTAGAACCATACATTTACACCACCTCTACAGTAGCTTGAAAGAATCTATGTTCAAGGTTGTTTGGTAAATCAGCCCAGACTTTAGTTATGTGAGTTTTCACATCCGTTTCAGTAGAATTTATCTCATTTCCTAGACTTGACACATTTATTGATTCACCTGAGATAGTTTGTATTGAACCTTGCTAGTTGAAGTCTATGAATTCAGTTTTAGAGACATTGATATAAAGTCCATGGTTGGCAGCATTTTCTAGATGATGTAAGAGAACTGTGACATTAGTAATGCTATCTTCAGTAATAGCTAGGTCATCTGCATATTCAATATCTATCAATTACAGTTAAAACTGTTATAAAACTATCCCACAACTTCTTAATTACTTTGGCAAGCTCCAGATATTTTTCCAGCCTGTAATTTCACAAATTCAAAGTGTGCCATTTATTATGGTTGTGGATTTAATGTTTAATTCCTAAGTAAGGTCTTGGTATTTTTATATATTTATATTCTGCTAACACAATTTTGTCTACAATCTGGATGACATTTTTCCCTTATTTCCAACAACCAGATCCAATAGGAATGCATCAAAGAAGATTCAGTTGCTTTCATTGATGTAAAATAACATTAAAATAATGACACATTAGATAACACATTAAAATTAGGAAAGACTTTGAAATATAATTCAAATTTGATAATTCAATTCAGCCTCATCAGTCTATATCTTTCAGCTCTAAAATGACTTCCAACAATATCAAAAGAGTTTAGGCAGTAAAACATTCCCCATTCTAATTGTAATACACATTTTAATAAATGGATTTTGAACAAATTATAGGTTAGTGTCCCAAGTTATATTCCTCCAACTGTGATTCTAAGTTTCCTCAATTCCTCCCCATTTTATATTGTTACGAGGATGCATTTCTATAATAAGAAAGTCTCAATAAGGTTAAAATTTATAGTAAGAGATTCTACTGAGTCCTACCTGTTAATACAAAAAAAGTTTTCTTTCATGAAGTAGGTATAAAATAGAGAAATTTGAAATAGAACATTTGGAAGATTCTAGATCATTCCAGTATATTCGAGAAGAATCTAGATGATTCGTGAAACATCTAGAAATATGCAAATTAGGTGTTAGCCCCTATAAAAATGGGATTTTGGAAAAAGGTTGTCAGTTGTTGAAGGGGAATTTTTGCTGTTATCAACTCCGGCTTTTGATTCAAGGATTATTATATCCAGCCGAAAGAATCTCTATAAAAAGTTGCCAACCAACAAAAACCCAAAAGAGAATTTCATGGAACAAATTTGGTAAATATCTACTAATTTTCTAGGATTTATACAAATGGTTGAAATTCTTCGCTAATTCTTCCCCTGGTTAAAATTCCTTTTAGATTTGAAATTCTTCCCCTGGGAGCAAATTGACTCTTGTTTAAGAATCTTCATTATAGTTTATTGTTTTGCTTTTTTTCTTACCTTTGTGACATTATGGTAGTGGTTCTGAGTTAATTTGGCCAAAAGTGCTGGCAATTCACTGGCAGTAACAAAATTGTAAGGTTGGTTTCTCTCAGCACTGATGCTGGGATTGACTCTCCTCATTTCTCCAGCAAGTGATCTTCCATTGTCAGAACGCCAAGGCAGCATTCGCATAAGAAATTGCTGATAATTCACTAAACCATCAAGACGTGCAGCTACATACCGATTGACCATGCTAGAAAAGGAAGATTTAAAAATAATTAAAAATAATTGTTTTTCCATTGCTGCATTTTAATTTAAAAGTGTACTTAATATGATTTGTAGAACAAGCAGCTGTATGGAGACAGATTTTATTGACTTTAAGGAATTACAATTTTGAGATCAAGCATTTTCATTGTTTAATTTTTTAATAATTTTCTTTCACCTTATTGCTGCTTTTTATCAAAATCTTCTTTATGTGCCATGTCCCCTCAGGATGTAAGTGATCATGGCTCTTCACAACTTTCTTTCCCTAGTAGCTCTTAATAATCTTTTTTTTCTGTTTTGCCATCCATTTACTCAAGCTCACTAAGCATGTTCTACATTGTTTTCTTCTGCCCCTCTTGCTCTCTCTGTCCCATGAGTATCAGATTTTCCAAGTCCTCCTTCCTCATTATATGCCCCAGAAACCTCAACTGTTTCTGATGTTAAATACTAGTTTCCTTTTTGTTTCCATTTTCTCCAAAACCTTGTTGTTATTCATATGTTCAGTTCATAGTATCCTCAGCATCCTTCTGTAGAATCCTATTTCTGTTGCTTCTCTCTCCTCTTCATCTTTGAGGAGATCGTCTAGCACTCACTGCCATACAGGAGAACAGATATCACATAAAAGTTTAGTACTCTTTTCTTTGTTTCTAGCAAAATTTTTCTATTTCTTAGTACTCTGCTTAGCTTTTGGAATGCTTCCTTAATACTAGTTCAATACTTGTTACTTTGCTGATGGCAAGATGATCAAATTTCAAATCAAAATTGTTTAGCCATTTAGTAGTAAATATATTCAATTAAAATACAGAGATGGTCATAAAACTTCAAAACAGTATACATTTTGACTTAAACTTGTTATGCACGGGTTATTGCCAGACAGGAAAATTAGCCCTTGTGACACAGATAACCATTTTAATTTCATTTGAATTGTGTGTGTATATATGATTGAATGTATGCATATGTATATCTTAATTCTATAACACACCATTCAAAAAGAAAAGTTAAGAAATAATTCTATTTTTAACACATAATTTCAAAAAAATTCAATAAAATCTTAGAATTATTTGATTTTTTAGGGTTTAAGAAAAATTTTCTTTTTCTTGCCTCCAAGTATATGATTATGACCTTTGCCCAGAAGGTCTATTTGACGTTCAATCCCGCTGGTTGACTATTGAATGGATCACTTTGATCCAAGCCTTGCTTTGTCCAACACTGTGTTTGATTTAGATCACAAGGCTAGCGAGGATCAAATTGTTGACAGGAATCCTTGAATTGGTCTGATCCAAACAAAGTGAAGTCACAAGTAAAAAAAATAAATTGTAGAAAAGAAAATGTTTTATATAACTTGTACAGAGCTGGTAGTACAATTATGAGTTCTTCAGGTGGGAATATATTTGTCATGCAGAGTTATCAACCCTTCCCTCTTTGAATATTTTATGACACTTTGTTCATTGTGACTAAGTCTAGAACAACTAAATTCGAAGGTTTCTTCAGGCAGGAAGTCACGTGAGACCATGTGAAGTGATCATGTCTCGTCCAGGATCTGGAACAACTGTCATGTTGGTTGCTTTGACTTTCTACTTATATGGACTTCCATCCAAAACTGGCATGAGGACTAATGTGGTTTGGGATTTTGATGATTCCCCTAATCCCCACAAAGAGTCCTTTGTTTAACTCCAGGAAATTAATTAATATATACCCAAACTTGGAGAGGTCTCTCCTCCAAAGAGTAATGGTAGCAGAATATCAATCCACCCCAACTTCCTTTTTGTATTGGTACTTCACACTAATACTGCCCAAGGGGCATAGGCAATTCCTCCACCTCCCTTGATATTCTACCTATGCCCTTCACCTCAGTGATCACTTTGACAATTCTGATTTTCAGACTATATAGGCAAACAGGCATGGTTTAGCTCCAAATCATTAATTTTAATTATTGTTCAGAAAATCTTTGTGTTGCTTAAATGAGTCTCTATTACTAAGACATCGCTCGTACAATTCAAGATACCGCTAGTTCAATCTGCCACTCTTGCTTTCTGAACACTTCAAAACGTCAAATCCATCTCTCCTTCTCACTGCTTTAACTCTCTTTTATCAGGCCAACACCATGGTTGACCAACCAGTCAGTGTTCTTCACTTTTATTCTCAGTTACCCAGGTAAATAGCCTCCTCCAGTTCAACCAATCAGCACATGACTTGTTATTGGTTGAAGCTGTACAAAAACTCTCATTATCGCACATACTGCTGGAATCACTAGATGGGAGAGTAATGCCATTTTCAAGGAACAAACTTGCTGATGCCACGTGCCGCACGTTGAGGTAAGACCCTTATTTTCCTATGCACCAGATGCAAGCCACTCTGGCTTGCTTGCTTCTATGGAACTGTTCACCACACTTTGTCAAGTGAATTCCTCAATCCAAGACAATTACCGGATGTTTTGGTTGATAGATTCTTCAGCAGGCCTCTGGATTGTGACACTCAGGGTTTGGTTATTATCTAAAGAAATTTCATTTCTTTAAGAATTTGCACATTCTCCTCCTTTTGATAAGTATATAAATAAATTCTTTTAACTTTGCCTTCATTTCCAAAAACCTTAAAAATATTATCATTTTACTTCTCGTTGGCAAAATTCCTTAACTTAGCCTTGCTTATAAAGTTTAGAAATTTACCAGTGAATCATTGCATCTTCTCAGACTAATGTTTCCCATTGACATGAAATGGAAAGATTATATTGAATCAATTGCTAGGTCTGCTGATAGAAAATCTGGTCCCCTGTGTCATACTAGACAATTTTTCTCTCCAGAATCTATATTACATATTTATAAGTCTACCATTTGTCCTTGCTTTTAATATTGCTGCCACATCTGATTTGGTGCTCTTGATATATATTTAGAGATTCTTGATAAAATCCAAAAAGAATCTGCATTGTTATTAGTCTTGATCTGGCATCTCAGTCACTTTCCCACTACCATAATGTAGCTTCCTTGTGCTTTTTCTGTAAATACTTACATGGTAATTGTTCTGATGAACTTCCTTCTGACTTATTCGATGAATTTGAGATTATTTTTAATGATAACATTTCTTAATGTTATACTCTTTTTCAAGTATACAAAGGAATCAGAAGCTATCATTTTCTTTACCTCTTGACCGACTTCCCTTCTTTGTTTATAATCTGTGGGAAATTTTCCATAACCTGAATGCACTTTAAATAGCAATTATCAATCAATATCTCCATCTTGGCCCTGTCTTAATAAAATCCTCCACTGACTTGAATGTTCCTACACCATCTCTCCCCATCCCTCATGGGTTTAAATTATCCAGATGGCTTTTTCAGCTAGATTACTCAAAATAATAAAGCCATTTTACTTCAAGTCAGCCTATTCCCTTTTGTATGGTTTATTCTCGGAAGAAAACACTTTCTGAATTTTAATAAAATCCTATCTCATCTCTTGGTATGTTTATCAGGCTCCACTGTCATATAGCGTCCCATCTCTCTCGGTATAGCTATCAAACTATCCTTTAACCATTCCAGCATCTTATAGTATCACATGATTTTATTGCTCAGCCCAGGGTAGGGTTTGTTCAGACTGAGTGGGAGTGGAATGTATTATTCTAATGTTTTATTTCAAACTCAGCCAAATAATGTGTGTATATGTGCTTGTGTGTACATCAAATGGTGCAAACCTGTCTGGAGAATATAGCATTAAACTTTATAGAACTACTTTCAGCTCTTTCTTCTTTTTTTTTCAAGTAAAACCAGCAGAAAATATGGTTTTGGTTAGAGTTAGTACAGTGATATATTTGCATGTGAGAGGTTTATTTATATATCAGAAGAAGGAAAATATAAAAGGTTTACATGTACTAGTAATAAACTCGGTCACATGAGTAGATATACTAAATGACTTATGAATACCACTAATATGCTTGAACACAGTTTTTTTTTATCAAACTTACATTTTGCTACATTGGGCTGGAGAAGGATTACCAAGCTATTCTTGTAAGCCATGACTAGAAAGTTCAAACTCTACTGGGCATTCAATTATTTTGACCTTGTCAAAATACTCTGTATTATATTATGCTGCAATCAGATCTCTTTCTGATTGACTCAACATGACAGCCAGATGTAAGCACCAAGAAAGCAAAGCACAAAAAAAAAAGTTGTTTTCTGCACAGGGGCTCCAAGCATCACATCCAGTCCACAAAATAAATCCCCACAATAAAAATAATACAATAGCCAATCACAAATGTTCCAGCAGGAAAAATGATGATCCTGGGGACTACCAGATTTGCTTAAGAGAAAGCTCCATGTAATGACCAACACAGTTGCAAGCCAAAAGGCCACCTCTCAGCATGCAAATGTGCTGTCAACACCATGATTGTCACTCACTGTCACAATTTCTCAATGCCATAAGTATCTACTCCAGGTCTCCCTCACCATCATCACCATGACCCAATCTCATTAATACTTCATTCAAACAAAATCCAACAGAAACATTCCAGTCAATCAACCTTAACTATCTACTCCAAGCCTTCTTCATCGTCACCACTATGAGCCTGTATCATTCATACCACATCCAAGCAGAATTCAACAGATACATTTTGCTTGATCAACCAACTTGCCTTACCAAGCACAGGTGATGATTTCAACCTTAAAGAAAAACCCCACTAACAGCTAACCCACTATGGACCGATCCCCCGACACCAACTGTGACCTCGGGCAACGAATTCAATCCCTGGATCAAGCAGTGTGTACTTGAACTCAGTGGAAACAGGGTGAGCAATAACTGAACAGTACTAAAAATAAGAACTGGATGAGGTATCTCTCAACATGGGTAATGGAACAAGAACAGTCTACACCCATAGATTAAATAAAGAATTCAGTTCTGAATTCTCTGTAGGTTACCCAGATCAACATACACCTGATGAAGACTGGGGGGCACAACAGCCGAAATGTTGTGGTAACAAAAACAAAGATGAGGACAAGAGTTTGCAGATAAATAGTGTAAATAATGATAACTCCCAATCCCAGAAATTGAAACAAAAAGATATTTTATCACAATATCTAATGATGAGGATTCATATCTTTCTCAAGAGTAGTACTACAAAGTAATCGCAAGTAGTCTATCTTGCAATACATTGCACTACCATTTGATCAATATAGAGAATGCCTCTCTCTCTCAGTGATAATAACAGCATATCAATATATAATGTTCAAACTATATTGTTAATATTCACTAGTTGAATTAAGTGCATTGTCAAAGAAAGAAATTATGTTGATAAGTCTATTTGTATATTTTTTACATCAGGCTACAGACTTATTGATGCATATTTTGTTCAAGAATAAAAAGAGTTTTTTTCAGAGATAATCTTATGCATTCTATAAAAATTAGCATAAAACTATTCACAAGAGAAAAAAATTATTTTTTAATAAATTAAAATAAGATTTATAGTACAAGACCAGATTTATCCAAAATGCAAGCAAATATATATATATATATATATGAATTTTTTTCTCTCTGTTAAGTAAAATTTTATCTTTATTGTTTACTATATTAGTCACATAAGTGGTATGATGTCGATAATATGAGTCAACTACAAAGTTCAAAGCTTAGGCAGAATAATTGTTACTTTGAACAAAATTAGTAGGTTGAGTAATTATGTTAATTTTAGAATTGACAAAACAAATTAAAGTTATTTTTTTCATAATGTATAATGTCATTCTGTTACTAAATATGGGGTGCAGAATTAATTTCAACTCGGAACTAATTTCAAATTTATTGATTTTCTTAAATTTTGATCAATAATGGCTTGTTTTGAATGAGTGTTTTTTACAACAAAAAAAGAAAGCAATCTACTGTTCTTGCTACAAAAAACATTGCATTTTTATTGGATCAGATATAAATGAATTTAGTAAATTAAAAAAGTACCACTTTATTCATTTGCAACAAAAAAGAATGAAATTTGCACAAAAGATGCATTCTGGATTATCTTATCTACTAAGGATTTTTAATGCTAAATTAAAAAAATTAACACCAACTCATTGCATTTTGTTTAGGAATTCATGGAAATTGATAACTTTGATTTTAAATCAAGTTGAAATGAGTTCTGTCACTCCTAAATATACAACACAGGTTTATAATTTTTAAATTATGTTTTTATGACAGGAAACATTTAAAGACAATTACAGTAAAGAAAAATGTTAAGGAAGTATTTTTTTAATAAAATTCTTAGGCTTTTAAAAAATTATTAGTTATATGCAAAAGTTCATAGCATTTTTAATAATCTACATTCTGTTATTAACTGGGGCAAGGAATGGCTTGTTAATTTTAATGCATCCAAAATAAAACTGCTTTCTTTTACTCATCTGAGAGAACCCTTTTTACCTTCCATCAGCATGGCTGATGCTAATGTTCAGAAGAGTGAATCCTTGCATCTTCTCAGACTAATGTTTCCCATTGACATGAAGTGGAAAGATTATATTGAATCAATTGCTAGGTCTGCTGAGAGAAAAGTTGGCTCCCTGTGTCATACTAGACCATTTTTCTCTCCAGAATCTATATTACATATTTATAAGTCTACCATTTGTCCTTGCTTTTAATGTTGCTGCCACATCTGATTTGGTGGTCTTGATATATATTTAGTTATTCTTGATAAAATCCAGAAAGAATCTGCATTGTTATTGGTCCTGATCTGACATGTCAGCTTCAGTCACTTTCCCACTACCATAATGTAGCTTCCTTGTGCCTTTTCTGTAAATACTTTCACGGTAATTGTTCTGATGAACTTTCCTCTGACTTATTCGATGAATTTGAGATTATTTTTAATGATAACATTTCTTAATGTTATACTTTTTTTCAAACTAGATCTCTTTCTGATTCTTCTCCATCAAAAACCATTGACCAGATGGGAACGTTAAGAAAACAAAAATAAAAAAAATCATCCTCTGTGCAGGGGCTTCAAGCATCACATCCAGCTCACAAAGCTAATATCCTCAAAAGAATAAATAAACAAAATACAATAAAAAGGAGCCAATGATGAACATTGCCACTAAAACAAAAGCCTGTCTATATCTCTGAGATGAGATATTATGATTATTCTGATTGTTATCCTCATCTTCATTGCCATATTCACAATATTTTGTTTGTTGTATGCTCCAGGTGATTGAATTTTGAATCAAACCCTTTATTTCATCATCCAGAGTAGACTGTTCTAGTTCCACGTGCCATGCCTCTTCCAGATATCTGTTATTTCTTTTAACTCAACTCTCCAAGTTTTTTTGAATCACCACTGCTGTAGGCTGGTTTTGAATTCACAACTCCTTGGGTTTTGTTACTGGATCTAAACAATGCCTTGAGGATACAGGGCCCAATGGATAAAGGCACTGATTATATCCAGTGACTAGATGCAAAGAGTTGTAAGTTCAATACCAGGCTACTGCAGTGGTGAACCAAAAAATTTGGAGAGTTGAGTTAAAGGAAAATAACTGAGATATTATCATCCTCTAAGTTGCATCCCTCACCCACAAAAAGACATTCCACTTGAACTTCTATATCGACAATACAAAAATTTTTATTTTTACAATTTTTGCCTTCTTTACTTTCCGCTTACTGGTGGTACATTGTCATTTTTGTTTGTTCTCCCATCCAACAAAAATTGGAACATAACATTAATAGCAGCAAATAACACAATTTGGAGAATAATTCTTTTATGTGCTGTTTCTCTTCAGGACATTAGTGATCATATCTCTCCATAACTTCCTATCATTTGTAGCTGTTTTAAAAAAAAATGTTAGATTTACTATCTGTCACTCACGATAATGAAGTTTGACGATAAGTAAAATAAACATTGATACACTATTGAATAATATGAATACAAATACCTATAATTTATGTATAGTAAAGCATACCTGTTAAAAATGTCATCATGAATCGGGTGGGCAACTGACTCAAGCACAGACTTTAACACTTCTGGTGGAAGAAAAGTATCTTCATTACCACATGCCTGCTTCAATTTAGTTAAAACTTCACCTATATTTTGAGTTATTTTATCCACAAAGGCTTTCTCATCCTGTTTTAAAAAGAAAACAAATAGTAAATGTTCTATAATGTCAGTTGCATATAATGTAGCAAAGAAATAAAGAACACAACACACACACACACATATATATATATATAAAGAAATTAATAGATTGTTATTTATAGTCTGACATTATTATTACTATAAACATTATATTCAGGGGATACACATGTTTGAGTCAAAAGCCACCATCTCCAGTTTGTTAAAGAATTGTGACAGGTAGTGAACTGGCTTCAATTTTGAAGTAATCCAAAAAAATATTTGTCCGCAGCTCATAGCATTATGGTCACATTCTTACTGGCTATATCGGTGACAGATGAATTAGTCATCTGCATACCTGGCTTAACAGAGAGATAAAGGGACAGAAGAGAGAGAGGAGACACACATAAGAGAGATAGAGGGGGGTACACATGAGAGAGATAAAGGATCGACACACAAGAGAGAGAGATAGAGAACAGACACATAAGAGAGAGATAAGAGACACATAAGAGAGAGAGACAGATGAGGTACATACAAGAGAGGGAGAGATAGAGGAAAGACACATACAAGAGAGATAGCAGATGGTCAAATAAGAGAGAGAGAGAGTTTGAAGAGGGACACCTAAAAGAGAAATAGGAGAGACACATAAGTGAGAGAGAGGTGGGACACATAAGAGATAGAGATAGACGAAGGACACATAGGAGAAAGAGAGAAAGAGGAGGGACACATAAGAGAGAGTGAGAGAGATAGAGAAAGGACACATATGAAACAGAGAGAAAGAGGTGTAATACAGAGAGAGAGAGAGAAGTGGAGGGACAGAGGGATAGATAGAGGAGAGATGCATAAAAGTGAGAGAAAAAGAAGGACACATGAGAGAGAGGTGGGACATAAGAGAGAGACACAACACAGAGGAGGTACACATAAGAGAGAGAGATAGATGATGTACATATAAGAGAGAGAGAGAGAGAGAGGAGGGACACAGAGAGAGGGGGATGAGGGACCATAAGAGAAAGAGAGAGACAGAGTTGGGACACATAAGAGAGAAACAGGAGGGACACATAAGAGAGAGACAGGGGAGGAGTATAAGTGAGATAGAAGAGGCACACATAATAGAGATAGAGGTAGGGCAGACACACATAAGTGAGAGAGAGGGGTAGAGGAGGCACACACAAGAAAGAGAGAGGTAGAGAAGGGACACCCAAGAGAGAGAGAGAGATAGAGGAGGGACACCCAAGAGAGAGACAGAGAAGAGACACCCGAGTGAGACAGAGATAAAGGAGGGGCACATAAGTGATAGAGAGATAGAGCAGGGACACATAACAGAGAGAGGTTGGACACATAAGAGAGTGGTAGAGGCAGGACACATAAGAGAATCATAACAAGGGACACATAAGAGAGAGATAGAGAAGTGACACATAAGAGAGAGAGAGAAATAGAGGAGGAACACATAAGAGAGTAAAAGATAGAATAGCAAAACATGAGAGAACGAAGAACAGATGAGAGAGGTAGGACACACAAAAGAGATAGATGAGATACACACAAGAGAGAGAGGAAGGACATAAGAGAGAGATAGAGGACGGACATATAGGAGAGATAGATAGATGAGGGACCCATAAGAGAGATTGAGAGAGATGGAGGAAAGACACATAAGAGAGAGAAAGAGGAGTGACACATGAGAGAGAAAGAGGACTGACATAGAGAGAGAGGGAGGGAGGGACATATAAAAGAGAGAGAGGTAGAGGAAGGACACATAAGAGAGAGAGAGGTAGAGGGACAGATAAGAGAGAGAGAGGGAAAGGACACATAAGAAAGATAGAGGAGTGTCACAAGAGAGAGATAGAGGAGAGACACAAAGGAAAAGGGGGTGGGAAGAGAGAGGAAAGACACATAAGAAAGAGAATGATAGAGAGGGACATGAAAAAAGAGAGAAGGGTTACATGAGAGAGAGAAAGAAGAGGGACGCGTAGAGAGAGAGAGAAGAGGGATGTGAGAGAAGAGGGTCAAAAAAGAGAGAGAGAAGAGGGTCACAAGAGTGGGAGGGGGGACAAATAAAAGAGAGGAAGGACAAATAAAAGAAAGGAAGGACACATGAGAGAGATAGAAGAGGGACATAAGTGAGAGAGGAGGGTCATATTAGAGAGAAGAGAAACATAGAAAGAGATAGCAATAGAGGAGGGACACATAAGAGAGTGAGAGATAGAGGAGAGATGTGTGATAGAGAGTGTAGGTTCACAGTTTTACTAAATTGAAAAGACATATATTTAAATTTCTTTGATCTGTATACCATACTGTGGCTGGAACTGGTGAGGTCAATTCCAACAGGTAAAAAAAAAAATGGAATCTCCCTTGTCCAATGTCTTCAGTACATGAAATGACACCAATGGACCATATTTAGCTAAACCAAAGCAAAATGCCATAAATACATCTTCAAGTGTAACACTCGAGTTAAATATCTGAAATAATATATTTTTGTCATTTACATTATTTTCAATTTTATTTTGTAATTTTTAAATATTATTATACATGTTTGTTTTTATTTTATTTTTTATTTTATTTTTCTCTTCACTCTCATTCTGAGAGCTTTACATTTTAACAGTGATTGTTATCATTAAGACTCCTATTTGATTTCCACTTGTTGCAATTGGAAATAAGTTAGACTTCAATTTTGGAGTAATCCAAACATAGCATATTATGGCAACAGTTTTACTGGCTACATTGGTGACAGACAAATCAATCATCTGCATACCGACTATGAAATAAGTGTGACCAGAATAAATCAGCTTCCTGTCTGATTTGTTTTTAGTTGGTAGAAGACATCTGAACTTATACTAAGTTAAAGCTTAATGATTTATTCTTTCATAGCTCATATACATATATCATAAAGAAACAATTTATCCAAAGAATTAAATAGCAATGTTAATGTGATTAATGGCAAAATCACTTCACTAACAGAACTTAATGAGACATTAACTTACTATTAATTCCTTGAATAATAAGATGCTTATATTTGAGTTGTCAGATGGATATAATTTTATAAATTGTTTCTTTATAATATAAAATATACACTCTAATATATATATATATATATATATATATATATATATATATATATATGAAGAAATGTAGTTTTAAGGTGTGCTATATTTATGAGATAAAGTGTTCAATATCAGAGATAGAGGGTATGTAAATATAAATATAAAGTGAACATTGAAGTCAACACTTAGAGGTGACAGGCTGTTTCAGGCCTGACAATTGCATCCAGTATGAAACAGCCTGTCACCTCTGAGTGTTGACTTCAATGTTCACTTTTTTTATATATATATATATATATATATATATATAATTTAAAATAATGAAAATAGAATCCTTAAAGATTTATAATTGGTAGTAATAAATTTATTTCATAGGCAAAATTCCCAATCATTCAGATCAATTTTACATTGAGAAATGGATTTTTAATCTATCCAGGCTTAAGTAAAGGGAAAAAAGGAAAAGAAAAGGAAAAGAAAGAAGATAAAAAAGAAAAGCAGAAAACAAAAAGAAGAGAAAGAAGGAAAACGTGAGATAGGAATAAATTTTAATATTAGAAAGGAGAAAAAAGGAAAAGAAAAGGAAAAGAAAGAAGATAAAAAAGAAAAGCAGAAAACAAAAAGAACAGAAAGAAGGAAAACATGAGATAGGAATAAATTTTAATATTAGAAAGGAGAAAAGGAAAAGAAAAGGAAAAAGAAAGAAGATAAAAAAAGAAAAGCAGAAAACAAAAGAAGAAGAAAGAAGGAAAAATGAGATAGGAATAAATTTTAATATTAGAAAGGAGAAAAAAAGGAAAAGAAAAGGAAAAGAAAGAAGATAAAAAAAAAAAAGCAGAAAACAAAAAAAGAACAGAAAGAAGGAAAACATGAGATAGGAATAAATTTTAATATTAGAAAGGAGAAAAAAGGAAAGAAAATATACACACACACACACACACACACACACATATATATGTATGTATGTTTATATGTATGTATAGACCTATAATCAATCTATTATAATCATGGAATACATATTTCTGTTTCTTTTTCAGTAACACACATAGACAAACTCTTAATTTACTGTTTATATATATATAATATTCCTCCTCTGTTCAGTACTTATATTTAATCTACTCACAACGTAAGGGGTTCTATTACAATTTTGGTGACTGCAGGAAATTGAAGGAAGTAGTAAGTGTTCAATCCTGACATGCCATTCATCAAACATTTTGAAAATAAGTTATCTGGGTCGCTTTACTCAAAATGCAGAGGTGGGAACTGTTCAAAAGGAGGTATCTGAAACTTTTTTTTATGTTTCTCTACCAGTTTTGATGTACATCTTTCTCTGAATCTACTATGAAGTATAATATGAAACTTACTATGAACTAAAGGCTGTTAAAAAATAAAAAAAAATAAAAAACTTGCTGAAACAAGTTTAAATTTATTTTCCACACAATTTCTTTTAAGATATGTACTGTGACTTTTAGTAAGTTAAATCTTAATAATAAGCATAAATAAGTGAAACAATCTAAATGTATAGATATACCTCTCCTCTACTACCACCACCAAAAAACACAATGTCCTAGAAGGTGAGGGGTGGGGGGACATTTTCAAGTTACTACCGCTTAGGAAACTCCTGGTGACAATCTAATATTACAGAATGTGTCCCTCTTTCAATGTTAACTCGAAATTAAAATAAACAAACGCACAATATGAAGATCTGTATCAGTAAGTATATATGCTACTGTTGGAGGATCAGTGACTAAACTGGTTACCCCACTCCATCTTTTAGCAAGTGAGGAGGGTTGTTAGCAACCCTGTAGGATGAAAAACAAGACCTAACAAAGGGCAGAAGAACTCTTGAGTCAACAGCCAGCTAAATAGAGGTGGTGCCTCAATAAATCCCTGTGGGGAAGGCAATGAAAAACCACTTCATTATCAATCCCAAGAAATATCATGGCATTTAACAAACAAAATATTAAACCTAATGGCATGAAGGGGGTTAAGTCTACTGAAACTAAACCTTCACCTGGTAAGGGAAAACATGAGCAATAAGTGTCACCTGACTGTCATCCAGCAATTGTTTGCATCAAACGAAATACAATTATCAGGACGTGGAATGTTAGAACATTAAACCACTGTGGACAGTTAGAAAATTATAAAACAAGAAAGGGTCAGGTTAAATATCAACATCTTAGATGTATGTGAAACACAGTGGACAAACAATGGAGATTTTCTCAGTGACAAACACAGGATCATTCATACAGACAGGAAGAAAAATGAAAGAAGAGTAGGATTGATAATAAACTAAGACATGAATAAATGTGTTCTGGGATACTATGAATTATCTGAAAGAATTATTGTGGTTAAACTGAAGAGGAAGCCTTTCAACATAGCCATCATAGTTGTGTATGCACTGACAGAAGAAATTGAAAAGTTTCTACTCTATACTAGACAATGCCAAGGCCCTCTGCAAATTGCAAGCAATGATAATTGTCATGGGAGACTTGAATGCCAAATTAGGCAATGAGAGGGATGGTAAAATAATTGGCAAATTCAGAATAGGAACCCATATTCATTATGGGTTCCTATTCTGCAGAAAAAAATGGGTTCCGTGATGTATGGTGAATGACCAGTTAATAGCCAACACCTGGTTTCAAGAACACCCAAGACTAATAAGGACATAGAGAAGCCCATGAGGAGAAACAAAAAACCAGATTGACTATATAACTATCAACAAGAGATTCAGAAATTCAGTTTTGCACTGTAAAACATATCCAACTGTGGAAGCAATCACCTTCCAGTGATATGTAAGCTTAGAGTGAAAATACAGAAATGAAAAAAGACTAAGGTAGCACCCAAATTGCAATGTGACAAACTCCTGAATGACCCAATCAAGATCATCCTAAAGGATTGTAGACAAAGAGAAAATGGATGGTGGAACAGGGCTTAGAAGAAATAACAGAAAGACAAGTTTATTAAGAACTACAAGAGACAGGCAGTTGTGGAGAGCCATGATCACCTACATTCTGAGGGGACACGGCACATAAAGAAGAAGTGAACTAGTCATTTTAGGGTCTTATTTAAAGATTATGTTAATTACACTGCTTAGGCCTGCTACTGGTAATGTAACCCAGTACAACCTGCTACTTGAACAGGCGATGGAGTGTCTAAACCAAATCTCCCTTTAGCTTTTCTGCTAGTGAGGATGGTGGCATGTCACCGTATAAGATGAAAAGCAAGACCTATCAAAAGGTGGATAATCATCTTATAGGAGCCAACAGCCAATATATATATTTTAATAAGATGTATGTGGCCGAGTGGTTAAAGCATTCGCATTCTGACCATGAGACCCATGTTCAAATCTCACTATGGTCAATTTGTCAGGAAGGAGACTTCCTGATGTTATCAGACTGGAGGGGTCAATCCCAGTATGGAGCACCTTTGAAAAGTGTCTGAAAACCATACCATGGGTTGACTCAAACCTTGTGAATGAAATTGGGTAGATGATACCCCTGGCAGCTGTCGATAGCTGTGCTAGCACAAAATCACAAGTCATTGTGGTGGAGGATTTGAGCTTGCTGGGCTTGTTCAAGTTGTTGATCATGCTAGATAACATGCTCTTTCCCAGAAACTGTAACTCAGGTCTGCTCAGCATAGTTGCAGCGTAAACCACAGGTGGGCTGTGGGTGTTAAAGAAACACAAAATGTACCTGAGCAAGCATCTGCAATAGGGATTGGCTAGCCACTCTAGTAGACGGGTATCCTGGAATACCAGTGGCCAGCTATACATATCAGCAGCAAGAATTCTCTCAAACATGTTTTGTTAAATAATATGGATAAGTTCTGTTTATCAATGTTTTTTTATTAAATCTTTAAAATTTCTGAATAAATTGTTTTTGTGTTATTGATAAATTTGCCAAAATTCCTATTTACTTTTAGATTGGATGTTTTGAACTTTTTATAGTTTTCAGAAACAGTTGTCATCAATTTTATTTCTTTCCATTTGGACCTTCACAGTTGTATATCCTTAGGTGTTTTGATTTCTTTTTCTATGAGAGAACATTGAAATTCAGTTTCACATGACAAACTGAAATC